ACTCAGCTTTGCCTCAGCTTTTTCCCGCCAAAACAGGTTGCCTCAGAGCTCCCTAATCTAGTCCCACCAATCTGAGGTCACACGTTCTTCCACTAGCGTACCTACACGTGAGGTAAGCCTAGAAGATTACCTACGCGCTCTCAGATTGTCCCTGACTAGACCCCCCTTGCTCTGGGCACACTTGCCAAGGCTTTGCTGGACCACTGGACAACTGGACCAGTCGTATCCCACACGCTGGACACCAATCAATGTGACAACCCCAGACCTACTGGGATATGCCACAGTTTCACTAAGCTGCCACCAACCATTCCCTATAAGAAGTCACACAGACCAGGGATGGATTTTTAACAAATAAAGGAATAGGGTTTATTTAAATAACACACAGGGAAAATAAAATGATCAAGTGAATAAGATACAGTAACGTGGCTTAGTCTCAATCATACATACACCAGTTTGGTTCACACAGAACACCTTTAAATAAAGCACAGACCCTGAACCTATCAGTTCTGGCTAACCATACAGACACCTGAACCTATCAGGTTGGTACTGACTGACACACAGTAGTACCCTGTCTGACACACAGACTCCCACACCAGCTTCTTCTCTCAGCTCTCCTCCAGCTTCTCCCACAAGCTCCACATATATATACAGTACAGCCCCTCCTCCCTGATGTCCCGCCTTCCACTCCCCATAGGATGGAACTTTCCCTCCAAACCCATGACAGACAGGTACCATCAGTGCTGTATGTAACAATGATGTCATTGGATTCTGCCAATGTAAATTTCTGTAAGATGAGTTTGTACAGGGTAAAATATCTGACATATTACTGTACATTTGAAAAGTTGCAAGAACATGGTTAACTATGCTGCAATCCTTCTCTGTATGGGATTAAGCATTTAAAACTAATGGAATGGTTAATGGAGATTAACCATGCTTTCAAGAAACAATTGAAGGCATCTCTCTCAATGTAACAAGATGTGTATCCGTAGTCTTCCTTTTCATGCATCCCATCTCATATGTAAAGCTTTATTCTTCCAAAGATTTTATACCAACAATATTTTTCCTGAAAAATATTTATATGGTTCAATCTCTTCCAAAGACTATTTGTTCAGCCTAGCTTTCTCCCAAATCTCGGGCTTCCGTAATTCCAAGGTTTTTCAGTCTTCCACTAAGATTACTACAATAACTATTAAAACAATAGAAAATTAATTATAATAAATTAAATTGCTGTTCTATGCACTTGTTCTCCTTCATACCTGATTTCTGAAACTTCTTGGGCTTAGAAATCTGCCTCCCAGAATTGTGTCAAATTCATGGATTTCCTTTAGAATTGATAGGTTTGTTCTCCTTGCAGTCCAGGGGACTCTCAAGAGTCTCTTCCAGCACCACAATTCAAAGGCATCAATTCTTTGGCGATCAACTTTCTTTATGGTCCAGCTGTCACTTCCATACATCACTACAGGAAAAACCATAGCTTTGACTATTCAGACTTTTGTTGGCAAGGTGATGTCTCTGCTTTTTAAGATGCTGTCAAGGTTTGTCATCGCTTTCCCCCCAAGAAGCAGGCGTCTTTTAATTTCATGGCTGCTGTCTCCATCTGCGTGATCATGGAGCCCAAGAAAGTAAAATCTGTCACTGCCTCCCTATCTT